TAAAACGAAAATAATAGTCCCTCAGGGACAAAGACCCTTTGGACTAATAATTATACTATGTATTTCAAAGAAGTTATCCATTTCGGCAATATTCCTTTTACTTACACAAATACTTCGCTATTTGTGAATAAAGTTTCTTAATTTCACCATGAATTAGAAGTTTCTAAATTATATACTGAAAAAACCTAAAGGGAAACCAGGCGAAGAGGAGAAATATTCCGGTAATTACGGTATTTAAAAATTGAACTTATTATTGGGAGATTTATATAGACCGATGCAAGTGCGGAGAATGAAAGAAAACTTTTCCTCTTCCCGTCTTATGGATCTTTGACTTACCCGCAGAGTTGCATTTAAAGCAGCAGGAAAAACTATTTAAAATCTATATCGCAGACTGGCATCACGCAGTGTATGAAGTGTTGAACTTCTGCGAAGTCTTCTTGCTAAAACTGGAGGGGGATAAAAAAGAGCAGGAAGTTTCTGAACTCAACGTGAATATTTAATCACTTCACAGTGACAGGAAAGATGTTAATTTAATCGCTGGATCCGTAAGTCTCGAGGTGAGTGAGTGATTCTAGTGGAAAAACAGGTATATATATTACACTTGCTGCTGCGTCTCCTACAAGCTCAGTAGTTATTTCAATTTCCTTTTTTTTTTTTTTTTAACGTCAAGCTTTCGTAATGATTTGAACGAAACTCTGATTTTTACATATTAGATGAAAAGAACTGCAATGTCCAGAAATAATATTTTCTTCTTTAAACTGTGGGAAAGAGATGCTCTCGTTAATCTCTGATTAATAAACCTTAAATGCATGTAGTTGCCATATGCAACATACTCATAGTTAATCATGTAAATCAAATCAAAACACAAATTTTATATAGTTTTGAAAGTTTCAATGTGGTGGCACCACTAGTGGTGTAACGGCCATTATCGTGAGCTGATGTGTACGGTGTGGACATCATTTGCATTTACGTATTTTTGATTTTGTGTTTGGTGTTATTTTCATGTATTCAAAGTTTTAAAATTGTTTGAACAAGTTTATGAGGTATATATTATTACATAAAACTGTTATAACACATTTGCCTCTATCATACCATTTTTTGTAAAAGTTAATAATATTTTTTTCAAAAACTGGAATTACTTAGTTTAGATTTTGTTCCCTATTTTTAGCTCAAAGGGGCTATCTCCCTGAGGGACTATTGTTTTCATTTTGCGATTTTGCGTCGAATCACTCCGAATGTCCGTTTCACTTTTCAAACTGTTGCCACCCGATATTATCGCCCTGTATTACATTTAAAGAAATTAAATAATGAAGAATCTGCATAAATGTATGTATGTTTCTCGCATTGTGATAAAACAACGGTACCTGGAGTCATCCAATTTTTAATAACGTAATTCTCCACTCGAATAGAGGCATCTGGAAGCCTAAATTTGGAATTTCTTGTATCTATTTCGTATTTTGTAAAGCTTTAACGAATTTTTTATCGACATAACCGACGATTTCAAAGCGAGCAATGGCAACACTGTACCAGAAAAGCATTATCTCTAGCGTGCGAGACTGTGTATCGGAAATTCTAAAGATATGCTCTTTTGAAATTATTTTGCGATATTGCTGTTGAATCGAATTTTATGGTTTAAGCTCGAAAAAGATGATATTTTATTAAAAAAAGGTAACACACAAAAAGTTAAAAAAGCCCTTTTGGTCGTAATATAAAATGTGAAAAATTTCAGATTTTTTTTTTTTTTTTTTCTTTTTCGAATGTGTGGGTTTCAGCTGTTGAATACTAAAACTTCGTGTGTCTAGGGTAAAGAAAAATTCTCCTTTTGTTGCAGAAAAGTGGCCATGAACTGGGGCTCATTATCAGTTTTAATCCTAACGATAAGGCCTGGCAATTAATAAATTTCTTGAGCCCGGTGGCCTAAAGGGGAGTGATAAGAGAAACAGACAAGTAGACGGCCGCAACAGCATAGAAAGCGCTAGGCCGGATAGCCGAGGTGGAGTAAAAAAAAAGAGAGAGACTGAAATAATTTTTCTTTGGAAATATTATTACTTAAAATAATATAGGCATCTGTAATAAATATATATATTTTATGTCTTAAAATTTAAAAAAAAAAAAAAAAAAGAGAGAAACTCATTTTGAAACACATTTAAAAGTAATTCAAAAGTGAGATTCTTTCTTCTTGAAGAAAGAAAGCTTGTTTGTTTGCTATGGATTACAGCAAAGCACTCGAGCATTATCTCGTCTGAGAAAAGAAATGCCTTCGAGAAAGATTTTCTAAAGAAACCTGGCTGTGTTCATAAATTATATTCGGAAAACAATTAAAATATCTATCTAAAAAACCCAAGGCGCGAGTCTGCATTGACCCAGAAATATTCGCTGGCGTTACTCACTTAGCCGCTGCTGTGAAATGCAAAGAAATTTTCAATAAAGGGTTTATGACTGTCTCTGTATATTCTTACAGTGGGAAATTAAAAATAAGAATAGTGGGGGGAAACGTTAAAATAAACTCGGTACGCTATCACGAGAAAGTTTTAAGTTCAATATTTACAGAAATCCTATTTTTTATCCCAACTATTTTCAAAGAGTGAAACGTCATCAAAATAAAGTAACAAGTTATACGTCGGAAAATACCACTGCATTCCTTGAATAAATGAAGACTGATGCAAGTATTGATAGTATGTCTTTTCAAAGTGTTCCTTCCCCTAATGTTTCACCTATGGAGTATTGTGACTTTGGTCTCTCGAAAAGAGTTCTTCAAAGCGAAAACTCACCACGATTGACAGATTCTGGAAGAGAAAAGGAAATTAAAACCCTTGGAAACTTTCCGAAAATCCCTTCTGTTGTAGAGATATATTACTCAGCAAGAAAGATGAAAAATGCGCTATGCCCTTGTCGGGATTCCAACCATGGACCTTTCGATACGCGCCGAGTGTGCACCACGAAGGCTTGCTAAGAAGGCGGGAGAAATACCTTATACTATCATGGATCACGATACTCACTTATAGTGCAAGGTGGAAAAAAACACTGTCCGATCGAACATTTAAAAAAGTACTCTTTACATTTTAAATATTACTTAAACGAACCCGAATTTGTCCTAAACGTGTGTAAACATCCTTCATATTATAAGGTGTTTCTCCCATCTTCTTGGCGTGCCTTCGTGGTGTGGTGGCAGTTCACGCTGGGTCGGTATTCCAGATGTCCGTGGTTCGATTCCCGGTGAAGGCGATTGCTCATTTTTCATCTTGCCTGCTTCCAAAGAAAAAAAAATAGCTAATGTCCCTACAATATTTTAATTTATAGCAATTATTTTGCTATAAATTAAGCAAAATTTCTGAACTCAAAACACTCCTACTACTGAATACAACAATACTCTCAAGAGATTCTTCACGATACTCTGATACTTCACGTACAGCAGGGTTTATATAGCTTTCGACCTGCTTTCCAGAACATTCTGTGGAAAAATCGGTAAGAATTCGCTCTAGAATGTTCTCGCTCCGTCTTGCCAATTTTGTCGCCAAATAGGAGATTTCGTGCCAAATCTGGTAACCCTGACTTTCTTTATCACTTTCTAGCAACCCTGAATCCGCTTTGCGGGGAAGCTATGTTACCGCAATTAGGCATTTCGTAATACTATTATATGTTATGGAGGACGCGTGGATGATAACATTAAAGGTTCTTATTTCCTGCAATAGACACAAATTGCTGTTAAATTCCACACTTCCTCTTCTCCGTTAATCAATGCAGAGAGCTTAAATTTAAACGACACATTAAAAAGCGTACTTTGAGTAATTCGCTATGAAAGGAGCAGTGGCAACAATTCCAAGGCCTGCTTCTAGATTCTCTCACTTCTTCTGGTCCATCATTTTCCAGCCATGATATGGTTATGAATTATATTTTGCCCGGACAGGATTTTATATGTCAAGTAAAAATAATAGATACCTTCGAAGAATTCCTTTCATCTGAAAGAACATAACAATCAAAATTTTTGAATAATAAGATAAGGAAATAAAATGGAAAAAAAAATGACGGTGTATAGCTTATAAGGTATTTCTTTCCGCCTTCATAGCGTGCCTTCGTGGTGTAGTGGTCTGCACGCTCAGCGCGTTTGAGAGGACTGCGGTTCGATTCTCGGCGAAGGCGTTGCATATTTTTCATCTTGCCTGTTTCCAAAAATACCTAATGTCTCTACAATTCAATGCAGAGATTTGGAAACATATTTCTATAATGTAGATTTTATAGCCATAATAATATATAAAATTTTATCTCATCACGTGGTATACACACTTTTATATTATGCTTCCAATTATTAAAACATTTTTATTTATGCTCTACATCGACATTTAAAATGAACAACAGACATTGTAAAAAGTCAACAATATCAATTTTTTAAAACATCTTTTGATAACTGTAATGATATCACTAATGGCATAAATCAGCTATCAATTAGATACTGGCATCCTCTTCCGCACTTTCATGCCCCGGGAATTTTTTCTGTGTCATCTTGGATTAAGAATTAAAATTAATTAATTTCTCTGTCATTTAATCATCAAAAAACTACATTCGCATGACACTTCTCGACATTTTACGTAACGATGACCTTTTGGTACTTTTTTGCTTTCCTAATGGCTTACAATTATTTGATGAATAAAATTTCAAGGCAAAAGAAGTCATTAACAAATGAGGCGTGACACGCACAGCACGAGGTAATCAATTCCAAATCACCAACAAAAATTTAAATTGTAAATTAATCCAGAAAATCCAAAGAGGTGCACTTCTGCAAGAGCTCAGAAAATGTTCTCCCCCCCTTTTTTTAAGAAATAAACGAAGGTTATAAAAAAAGGATGAAGAAGGCAAAAAGAGTCAACGCGTCTATCTTGTTGAGAAGTTAGAGTGAGGGTGGTAGAGGGGCCCCATCTGGGTGATCAACAAATCAAAACATTTCGCAGATTCCCTCGCCCGGGATCGCCTGCCATCCGACCATTGGCAGAGGTTCTCTCTCATCCACCATAAACCCCGCCATCCGAACAGACGAACTTCAGTTCTCTTTTCTCTCGCAAGAAGAGCTGTTGCAATCCACTCCGATAGCGAGATCTCCGTTGAGGAGTTACAGAAACCGTCAGATGGATCCGCGGATAAGCGCCGAGGAGTCGGACGATACGAATGGACTGGACTCCGGGCCGTATCCGGCTTCCATCCGGGCAGCGGTCAGCAGAGTACTACGCGGATATGACTGGAGCGTGGTACCGGCACCAGTACGAAGTGGTCAAGGAAACGGAGCGGGTGGCGACAGAAGAAAACCGTACGTCAAACGACCTATGAATGCTTTCATGGTGTGGGCTCAAGCGGCCAGACGAAAGCTGGCTGACCAGTACCCTCATTTACATAACGCAGAGTTGAGTAAAACTTTGGGGAAACTTTGGAGGTAAGCTAAGTATTTGTGTATTATATACTTTATTCATACTATTTTGAACAAAAAATATTATTTAGTGATATGTTTGCGTGGGTTTACTTTGAAAATTAAAAGACAATAATTAGAATTTCGTATAATAAGAAATTTAATAACAGTTAGTATTGCCACAATTCTCATTACTTTCTAACTAAAATAAAGATGTAATATGATTTTTACTCGAGCATTAACTACTGGAATTAAAAATATGAACATGGAGAAATATTTATTATTTTAATAGCTATTCGAATGTGATCAATTTATAAATTAATATTTAAAAAGCACTAAATCAAGTTTAAAAGAATGCATTTTACTATATTAAAAATTATTAACATTCGTTTATTATTCCAAAAGGGTTATTAATTTCGTTTTGGCATTTTGCATCGAAAACTTTGAATCACTTTTCAAATTATTGCCACCAAATATTATCGCCCTGTATTATATTCAAAGAAATTAATTAATGAAGAATCTGCATAAATGTATGCATGTTTCTCGCACTGTGATAAAACAACGGTACCTAGAGCCATCCAATTTTTATATAACGTAATCCTCCTCCGAATATGGGCATCTGAAAGCCCAGATTTGGAATTTGGAGTTTTTTCTTTTATCTGTTTCACAGTTTGTAAAACTTTAACAGATTTTTTAATTAACAAACTTGACGATTTCAAAGGGAACAGTGGCAACACTACGAAAAAAAAAATTTTATCTTCAGCGCGCGAGACTGTGTATCGGAAATTCTAAAGATATGCTCTTTTTAAATTATTTTGCGATATTGCTGTTGAATTGAATTTTATGATTTAAATGTGAAGAGCATGATATTTAATAAATAAAGGTAACACACAAAAAATGAAAAAAAAACGCAACTGGCGTAATACAAAAATCTGAAAGCTTTCAGATTTATTATTATTATTATTATTTAATTTAACTGTCCTGAGTGTAGTTTAGAAATAGCTTTTCGCCTTGGCTTGTTTATGACAGTTCATTGCCTCCGCGAGGAACAAATTTCCAACTAAATCAAAATATGTTCTCTTGAAATACTGGAAGTACAATAAATATTTGCCTTTATGCTTCTCATGTGTATTCTTCCTTACAGTGCCATTTTGAAGCATGTGTGGTATTTTTCAAGTGCACGGTTTCATGTACTGTTTCAATCAGTGCATTTTTCTTTTTAGGCAATAGTAATTTTGTATTTTTTGTTATTTTGATAAATGTTTACATTAATTTTAATTCTTGATAGAAAGATCTGCTGAGTTCTAGCTGATTTATTAGTGAAAAGTATAAAATTATTAATACACACGGCGATTCCTTTTCACGTAATACATCCAGAAACTTTATTAAAGCTTAAATATAAGCATTCCCTTTTCAACGCTTTGAAAATAGAAATTAAAATTTACTATTACATTTGGGATGTTACGAATTTGGGATGATACGATAAAACTACTTTCTTGTATTATTGAAATAGAATACTATAAGCAATGATATGGAAACAATGACTGAATATACCAGTGTCAGATTTATGAAGTAAACAGCTACACACATTATGAAACAGGGTATGGTTAATAATTTTTTTAGCCCAAAGGAGTAATTTGTCCAGAAGGGCTATTAATTTCGTTTTGGCCTTTTGCGTTGGTTCACTATAAACGGCAAATCACTTTTTAAATTGTTGCCACCAAATATTAGAGACCTGTATTATACTTAAAAAAATTAAATAATGAAGAATCTGCATACATGTATGTATGTTTCTCGCATTGTGATAAAACGACGGTACCTAGAGCCATTCAATTTTGAATAACGTCCGTCTCCACCCGAATATGGGCATCTGAAAGCCCAAATTTGGAACTTATTTTATTATCTAATTCTATTTTGTAAAGCATTTATGAGTTTTTGATTAAGAAACTCAAAGATTTCAAAGTGAGCCATGGCAACACTGTATGGGGAAAAAAATCATTTTCATCTCCAGCGCGCGAGATTGTGTGTCGGAAAATTCTAAAGATATGCTCTTTAAATATTTTGTGGTATTGCTGTTGAATTGAATTTTATGGTTTAAGGACGAAGGATATGATATTTAATAAATAAAGGTAACACACGAAGCGTTAAAAAACGCCCCTTTGAGCGTAATATGAAATCTGAAAGCTTTTAGATTTCTTTTTAATTAATGAGATAAGAAGGCCTCTCGGAATGCGGGACAGCTCGCGATTTTTTGCACGACCCTTTAAATCCGCCTCTGAAGAAGGGGGGGAATGGAAGCATCGCAAGTCTGTGGTTATAGCATGCACTTCCCATTACGTGTAGACCAAATTATGTAAGAACTTTCATGTCTCCCTTTTTCTTAAAACATGAAAGTATTTAGATTCTTTCACAATACGAGGTATGATTCTGTTATTAAAACGATTTAATGTAAGCATTTTGATACTGTGGTGATTCATATTTAGAAGCGGCAAACCATTGAAAACGAGAATTTCAAGCACATTTTAGAACTTTTATAGCGAGCGGCAACATTTGATGATCAACAATGAGAATGTGTAGTATTTTATACTATAGAGACATTATTTACGTCATTCTCAGTTTTTCAACCATATTACAATTTATTAGTGTTTTCGTAACATGGATATCAACATCTGACATTTGCGATTCAATATAATCTTTTTTTGCATTGGAAAATCAAAATTTTTCCCAGAATGGCAACAAACCAAGTGAACTAACTAAACGTAATTAATAATGACTAACTTTTCCTTTTTAAAGAAAATTATGCTTTCCTCCAAAATATGCAATTAGAGAAACTAAAGTGTTCAATTATTGTTAGTTACAAATAACGCACATAAATGAGTAAAATGAAACAGAATATAGTATCTATAATTTTTATATTCCTTCTGATTTTAATTTTTTATCAAAATCTCAAAAGTTTCAGATTTTAAATTACGTCCAAAGGGGCATTTTTTAAAATGTTTTGTGTGTTATATTTATTTATTAAATATCATGTTCTTCGCACTTAAACCATAAAATTAAGTTCAAGAGCAATATAGCAAAATAATTTTAAATTGAGCCTATCTTTAGAATTTTCGATACACAGTCTCACACGCTGGAGATAAAAATGTTTTTTTCTGTACAAAGTTTCCATGGCTCGTTTGGAAATCCTTGAGTTTGTTAATCAAAAATTAGTTTGAAGTTTTACAAAATATGAAATCGATAATAAAATAGATTTCAAATTTGGGCTTCCAGATGCCTATATTCGCAGTAGGATTACGTCATTCAAAATTGGATAGCTCTAGGTACCGTTGTTTTTATCACTAAGCGAGAAACATACATTTATGCAGATTCTTCATCATTTAATTTCTTTAAATATAATACAGGGCGATAATATTGGGTGGCAACAGTTTGAAAAGTGATACAGCTTTTCAAATTTTCAGCGCAAAATCGTAAATTTTTGATTTTCCAATGCAACAAAAGATTATATTGAATCACAAATGTCAGATGTTGATATCCATGTCATGACAACACTAAAAAATTGTAACATGGTTGAAAAAGTAGAAGAAAATTTCTCTATAGTGTAAAATACTACACATAAAACGAAAGCAATAGTCCCTCAGGGACAAAGCTCCTTTGGACTAATAACCTTTTGGATATACAACAAATGTATTATTTTAGCATAAATGTAAAAATTTACCTGTTTTATATGTAAAAATCTGTACATTTATCTGTGCTGTATGTAAAAATTTATCCCTATTTTTGCTATTGCTACTTTTCTCCGATGTTCATTAAAATATTATTACAAAATAGAAATTAAAAGCTTTACAAGTGCATTGGTCACGATAACGAACCGTTATTATTCTGGTTTTTGGTAGGTGCCATTTTACTGTTTTAGTAAGGAAAACATTTCTTTACATCACGGCACAATTTTTCATCAAATGATGTGTTCACGCCTTTTCCATTTTATTTCAAAAGTTTCATGATTCGTATACAAAACTAGAGTGTTAGATTCTCACGATATGCCTTCCCCCCCGTACAGTATTTCCATTGCTCGTTGAAACCATTGAGTTTGTTAATCAAAAATTCGTTAAAGATTTACAAAATATGAAATCTATAATAAAACAAATTCCAAATTCGGGCTTCCAGATGCCCATACTCGGTGGAGGATTACGTTATTCAGTGACGTTTCGTAGCCAGCTTTGCTAGAGCGTCAGCCCATTCCTGTATGCTGTGGTATGTTACATTACCCTCACAAGGATACAGCATCCATTCACCTTTGAGAATGCGAAGATAAGGTGTTTAAGTTATCGTCCGTGCGACTTCTGCGCATGCAGTTTTGAAGGTGCTACCATTCAGCAAAATATAACATTTTCAATTTAAAGCTTCGAATTTAATAAATACGTAATTCCTTAACAAACTGGGCAATTTAAAAGCAATACATGCATTACTTAACAGTGCTGTCCAGACGGTATAATGATTTAGGGAAGCCGACTGCGATACCAAAGGGCCCGCATTCGAATTCTGGGGAACGCATGGTTGTAACTATCCGTCGCCTTCATACTTACTTTACCACCAGTTGAGATGCTTTACCGCCTGTTATATGACTATCAGCATTTGTGCTCAGTTGCTGGAGCATTCTATTGTCCCCAGGCCTAGCCAAAAATCTCTATGGAATATTTATAGCGAAATTTATAAAGTTATTTCGGAAGATGGGTTTTTGTGACCTGTGGTTATTAAAGAGACCCTGTCAAGACTTTTACTGTGCTGAAAGAGGATTTTAGCAATGTTTTATGTATTGTGATTCTGAGTTTACAAAGAAGGTTTACTGAGTGGTAACTTGGATGGCAAAGGTGGCCCACCTATTAGGTGCCTCCATAATAAATTATCTCCATAATCTGAATACTGATGTCACCATTGCTGTCTGTGCTTTATGGCTTACATTATTAGAAGGATTATTGGCTAATCTTTGGAATATGGTAACAGGTAGTTTGGCGACATTTTGGTAAGGC